TTAATATTTCTATTTACTTTTTATTTTACCATGATGCTCAAGCCCTACTAGCAAGATTCTGGCAGGTGGCTCACATCTTTCTCCTCTGGCAGCTACATGGAGTCTCACTAACTCTGCCTACTAACACTCTGAATGTCTCCATGTTCACTATACCATCCACACAGAAACATGTATGCATAACTCAAAATACTGTATTTGCCTGGTGGTGGTATTGTACATCTTTGATTTCAGCACTCATGTAGCAGATCAGGCTGATCATTTGAGTTCTAGGTCAGCCTGACCTGCAGAGCCAGTTCCAAAATATCTATGACTATTACACAGAGAAATCCTATCTTGGAAAAAAAAGTATTTATTTAAAAACCTACTGATCTAGTTCTGGGAGCTAACTTGATAGAAGAGTTCTTGTGTGGTATATATGATGTTTTTATTTAAAAAGAAATATTCCAAATATTAATTCCTCATTATGATTAATAAATACTGTGTTTGAATCATCACTACTCCCTGTTAAAGGATAAGACATATTTCTCATCAAAATAACTGTCTCATTTTTCTTTTCAAAAACAACTCATTTTAAACACTTCTCAGAGATTTCAGTCCACAGGACATAGCTCAGGGAACACAGGGTCATCCAGAGTAAGATGCAGGAGAGAGAAGGTACTGGGATGTATCATTATTATCAAGGTATATTATGAATGAACATGATATTTCAAATAGAATAAATGACATTCAAATAACATATTGACATACATATATATCTTTTCACTAGTATATATGTCTTTGTATAGATTTTTCTCCATTTTTATGTCTGTCTGTGTCTATGCCTGGAATCTTATTTGTTTGCTTATGAGAGGCATATTTTCTCATAGTATGTTAATAGATTACCTTACAGAGACAATCCTCTGACCACAGAGACCTGCTCAAGTATCAGGTGCCCTGAGAGTCTTGTAGTGGGGTACTGACTTTACAGTCAGGGCCTCCCTTCCCTTTATAAATGCTGAAAATTAAACCCAGATCCACTTTCTGCCTAAGATCCAAAGTGACAATTAGAACATCAATGAGTGAAAGCACAACTCAGTAGCCCCTGCATTCCTCGGTTCAGTGGGTTGCAGAAAATGTGTTGTTCGTGTTTACAGAACATTTTTATATTTACAATTTCATGCAAGTGTGTGGTGTTGAATATAATTAGGGAGATTCCTGAATGCTCTAGGAGTTTTACAGTACATAATGATTTCATCATTTCATCTACTCTAGATTCTGGATGGGTGCCACAAGCTGAGAAGGAAGGTTCTATCCTTAATCTCATTTTACTTCTCTGATTTTATTTGTTCTTCCTATTCTACATTCAGAATATTTATCAAATCCATTTTTCTGATGTGTTACATACCCCAGTTACATAAGAGCTGGATATCAAATTGAAGTGGGCAGGCTGGTGTTTGTTTTTGAGTGTTGTAATCAAAACATTATTTTCTAATGAAAAATGTGATATTTAAAGGATAGAAGGGCTAGGCTAGCTCTGGGTTATAGTACTTGCCTTCCATCTACAAGGTATTAAGTTCAAGAAAAACATTCAAATTAAAAAATCAGAAGTGCATACAGAAAAATATCATTTACCACATTAATAGACTTGAAACAGGCAATCTTGTGGCTGGAGAAGGAATGATAGCTCCTAGAGTAGAAAGGGCAGATGGAAGTTTTCCAGTGGGAATAAGTATACAGCATAAGAGTTCTGTTCTTGCTTCCCATAGAAATCAGCTCTGCCTAGGACTGCAGCTTCCATGACTTGGTTCTAAATAACTATAAATGATGAGCTCAACACACAGAAAGGGAAATGATCGAAAAGAATGGAAACACTAATTATCACAGTGTATGACTGCACTTGGGTGTAGAGGCCACAAGTTGATTCTGAGTGTATTCTTCAGTTGACATCTACCTTATTTTTTGAGAGTCTCACACTAATCCTGGAGTTCTGGAGGGTCAGAAAGAATGGTTGGATAGCAAGATTCAGAGAAGCTCCTTTCACTAGGTCACCAGTTCTGAGAATACAAGAATAAACCATCACCACCAGCTTCAGAGTTAAATGTTGAAAATCAAACTGAAGCACTCATTCCGTGAAGCAGGCACCTTACTACTGAACCATCCCCTCAGCCCTAAATTACAGCACTATTCACTGTAAACATTAATGAAAATGTTAAAAAATAAATATATATATATATATATATATATATATATATATATATACATTTTATAATGATTTTAAAAGAAAGTACTGACAATTCTGTACTTTTAAATCATTTATTGTCAATATTAAATTGAATGCTATGTGTCTGGTTCCAAAACTGTCTGTAAATCTATGCCTGTTATGGAGTTGGACAAGTTGTGAAAGAGGAAAAGACATGGAAAGAGACAAGGGAAGAACATAATGATTAGAATTCATTATATGAAAAAAATATTTCAATTTTTAAGACCTCTATATGAGATGGTCGGGAATGAACACCTTTGATTCAGTCACCAGGGAAACAGTAACAAGAGAATCCCTCATGGTTCAAAATCAGCTTGGTCTACATAGTGGGCCCAAGCCAACCAGAGTGACCCTGTGTAAAGGACAGGAAGAAAAAAAATCAGCACCTCTACTTATAAATAAACATTTCTACATGTGGATGTGGTAGTGGTGGACTGGTGGTGGTAATGGTGGTGTGTGTGTGTGTGTGTGTGTGTGTGTGTGTGTGTGTGTGTGTGCATGTATGTGTGTGTGATGGCATCATTAAATATGACTGTTAAGGTGTAATTATATTTGTGTCTGTGTCTGTAAGTGTGACTCTCCGTGAGTGTGAATGTGTGTGTTGCGGAGTGTGGCTATACCTAAAAGTATAACTGCATGTGTGCCTATGGTTACAGTTGTGCATACTCTCATCATCCTCACCCCCAGTCTCTTATCAGAAAATTTTTAAACTGATCCAATCTGTTATCTATTGATGTTGTCATCAATATAGAAAGAAAAGTGTTTGTGTAATCTTAAATATTACAGACCACCATGGAGGAAAATTAGGACATGAAATCAAGACAGAAACCTAATATTGGGAACTGAATCAGAGATCACAAATAAACTTAATTAATGCCTTTAATCCCAGAACTCAGGAGGCAGAGCCAGGTGGATCTCTGTAAGTTTGAGACCAGCCTGAAATACAAGAGTTAGTTTCAGGACATGCCCCAAAGCTACAGAGAAACCCTGTCTTGAAAAACCCAAATTAAATAAATAAATAGATAAATAAATAAATAAATAAATGAACTCAGTTTATAGACTTGTTTTCCATGGTTGTGTAGCCTGCTTCCTTATAAAATGCAGGAACACCACCTGCCAATGGATGACAACATCAACATCTGTCTGGGCCCTCTTACATCAGTTATTAATCTAGACAATGACATCACAGTCTTGTCTGAAGACCAATCTAATGGGGGTATTTTTTTCCACGTAAGGTTCCTTTTTTCATGATAGCCCTAGTCTATATCATATAAAAAGATTCTGACCACCACACAAGTGAACATGCTGGTACTGTTAACTCTACATGACCCATTAAGTGAGTATTCATCTATTCACAGTACATAATTAAACAAATGACTGAGTAAACCCTTAGGAATAAGGATACACCCCTCAAATAGAAGATATTAATAAATAATATGTGATTTTACCATGAATTCATTCTCTTTACAAACACTGTTTTCCCAGTGACTTCCTTCTAGAGAGTCTCATGGAAAAAGAGAAAACCAAGGAGTAAGAGAGTATGGACTATGGACAGAAACTCTCTATGGGAGTTTGAATGAAATTGGCCCACATAATCTCAAAGGGAGTGACACTTTTAAGATGTGTGGCATTGATGGAGTGGGCACGGCTCAGGATGATGCCCAATCTGTCAGTTGACTTTTTGTTGCTTGTACAATATTGGACTCTTAGCTATTCCTCCAGCACCATGACTTCCTGCATGCTGTCATTATTCCTGCCATGATGAGGGGGAGCTTCTGGAGCTGTAAGACAGTCCCCTCACTAATATGGTTTCTTTTTTACAGTTGCTGTGACCATGGTGTCTTTTCACAATAATGAAACCTAATCTAAAAAATATCTCTGAAGTAACTAAGACAATAATTGTTTGAATAAGTGGATTTATAACTAGTTCTCCAATATAGTATAAGAAATGTGAATTTATTTCAGAGTTACTCCTTCCCAGATTATTGCAACCACAAAGAAAATATCAAACAACTCCAAGATGAAACATACAAAGTATAGTGTCTGAAAAATATTAATATAACATTGAAGCATTCAAAAATACAGGAAACACTGCACTCATACGGTAAATGATGATTAGGGCTTTCACAGTATGGCTGTCTCCCTAAAGTGAAAAGTTGTCTCAACCACTGCATCTCACAGAAAATAAAAAGGGAAAAATTATGCAAAAAAGAACACAAATTGTGATGTCACTAATGTCAAGTTTGACAAACATTTACTGAATCCTGACTGAACAGGTTGATTCCAGATCTGCCCTTCCCTTTAACAAGACACAGTAAAAGATCCTAGAAATAACTTGTTATAAGAATGAGACAACTCCACAGACACCAAGACAAAGAATATTAAGTAGTTCTTTAAACAGAATTTCTGATCACCAAAAGTACCAATATCATTTAAATTCTCTACTGGAATTTATAAAGATACATAAATCTGTTGAGAACCTGATATCCTCTTCAGCCTGCACTGAATGAATGTGGACTTAATTAATGTAAACACCTTTGTGTTTTGCTTCTACGCCCTGTACAGTTCCTGTTTCTCTGGAATTGGAAATCCAGACAGTATCAAGTATTTCTGAGGTTCAGTACCGAGTACCTCTAAGAAACACAAAGCAATCTCATTTCCCTGGAGGAGAAATTGCAAACATTTCCTGTGCTTTCTTTTATCCTTTCTGGAACCTCCCCCAATTCAAAGCAGTCATCAAACTCAGGATAAAACCCAAGGTCTAGCTGAGAGGCCCCATCTCCTTCTGACTAGAGCCTCCAACACAGCATGGCTGTCCTGGTGCTGCTCCTCTGCATGGTGACATTTCCAAGCTGTAAGTGGTTCAGGGTTTCAGGAAAGGGACACAGGTTTTTCACCTATGGATTGGTTATATGACTGATGGTGATGTTGCTTGTCCCTAGGTGCCCTGTCCCAGATACAGCTGAAGGAGTCAGGACCTGGCCTAGTACAGCCATTACAAACCCTGTCACTCACATGCACTGTCTCTGGATTCTCATTAACGAGCAATGTTGTACACTGGATCCGCCAACCTCCAGGAAAGAGTATGCAGTGGATGGGTCGTATATGGAGTGATGGAAGCACACATTATAATTCAGCTCTCCAGTCCCGAATCAGCATCAACAGGGACACCACCAAGAGCCAAGTTTTCTTAAAACTGAACAGTCTGCAAACTGAGGACACAGCCATGTATTACTGTGCGAGATACACAGTGAGAGAACTCCAGTGTGAGCCTGCACAAAATCCTCCATATGGAGACATTCTTGACCAGCAGGGGGCGATGGGAAAGCAGGATTTCTCAAAACCAGTATGTGGTTGCTTAATAAGATAAGTTCTGGACTATGCTGAATGAGCATATGTTTCAATTTTAGAATCTGTTTTCCTCTTCCAAACACAAATAAGAAAAAAATTCTCTAGAGGCATCTCTTCACTCTCACAGTCTAATAAACTTCCTGTTTGTTCAAATACTGTAACAAATAGCTTTCCCCGCAGGCCCTGTAAGCTAACAATCTGCTTCTTGATATTAAATAGAATGATATATAAGTTTATGTTTTACATACACACACATATATACATACATATTCACACATTTTCTTATATATACAGATATTTTAACGGAGTCAGCAGTTATGACACTTGTTGGATGTTAGGCTCAGTTATAAGCTAGAGAACTTTAAAAGAGCTGCAATTTGTCCTCTTTGTTTTTGCACATGTGATAGAGAAACCACAGCTTCCCGAATTTAAAGTCATATTCCCATAACACCCTGAAAACTGAAATACCCATAGTTTTTTCTACACCAAGAAGGTACCATAAAAGGATAGAATTGATTATTGCTTTTGACAGATCCCATTTCATGCATTTGCATCTTGGTAAAAATTAGCTTTTTCATCAGAATTATAAGCAGTGGTTCCTCAGGCTAAACAAATAGCTATTGTTTGGAGGTCTGTCTAACTTTAAAACTTACTTTCTCCGTATATGAAACCAGGATGTGTTTCTATTAACTTTGGTCAACTTCCATAGAACTCATTATTTGGGATAATCTTTCCCAACTAACTGATTAATCGTCTCACTCTACACTGTCCAAACCATGATCAGACTTCCCTAATTTAACTTTTCCTAAGATGAGCTTATCAGGTTGCATAGGGTAAGTGGTCACCTTGTGCTCTTGATGCTTGGCTATTACTGATATAAGGCCCTCCATGTTCATGCAGATTGGTTTGATATTTCCACTGTTGAGAACTGAGCTGCAGCAAACATAAAAGGGAAGGTTGCCACTGCTCATCTGTGCACTGGTGAAGCAGCTCAGAGCTTCAAAGAGCATACTGTTCTTGCTGGGAAATAGTTTCAATTTCAGGCACCCACAATGGTTAAGTCACACCTACCTATAAGTCTGGAGAACCCATGGTCTCTACTTGTCCCCATGCACTCTACACTTTCACACAGAAACATAAACACATAATTAAAAACAAAATATTTCATTTTCTCAACCACTGTTGAGAGTTAACCCACTGTGAGTACACCATAGTATGCATGAAGCTTTGATACATATATAAAATTTCAAAAAGTAAAAAGTTAGGAATCTTAACTCCTAACATTTTTGTCTCTTTCAAGAGATCAGTCTCATTTTTCTTCTCAAATATAACTCATTTCTATCACTTGTCTGATATTTGAGTCTAAGGATAGCACATAGCTCTAATGCCTTCATGAACAGACATTCTCCTGCATGCCATCCTCTTCTTTGGTTCTTTCATCTTGACCAATGCATGTGGGCAGAGTAGGTTGCATAGAACAAGCATCTTTGAATAATATAAAAATGAAAGTTGAAGCCAAAAGGATAAGTTGCCTGTATCCAATAATTCAAGACTCATTTACTAAAGGAAAGAAAGAAGTCATAGTGCTATGAGGATGGAGAGAAATTGGCTCTGTGCCTTGTAAAATGGAAGATGGTTCGGTTACGTTACTGTAAAGGAGTTTGAGCAAACCACAAAAATTATACATGCAAGAACACATGCCTAACATTCGCACTTCTATGTGAGGATTCAAAGGATATGACATTTTCAATTAAAATAGATTTTTACATTTCAATGATTATTTCCCACTGTTATACTGTCTCTCACTGCTGGACTCTCTATAAGTGCAGCCTGAGGTGTCAAATCTCACAAAGATGCCCGCAATTAATTGTGATTTTAGTTATCACATCCCTATGATTTTCACTTAAATGATTTCAGTATGACAATAGTCCATAAATAAAAATGGGCACAGAAGTTACATTGGTTATATTTCTGTAAATTAATTTATTAAATTAATGTGGCAATACAATAATTTGTGCACTCAAATATCAGCATCCTGCAAAATTTTTCAAAATTTTATACTGTAAAATGTTATACTGTAAGACATGTATTATACTGTAAGGCATGAAAAAGAAAAATATTCATTGTTCACTTGAAGCCACTTTTATGATTGCCTCATATGATTATTTAAGGAAACATGGGGCATCTATTTTAGAACAGTTATGCTCACTTGATGAGTTCACTGCATTGCTCACTGGCCACTGCACTTTGTTGAACTTGGACCGATATTGACTGATTTTTTTCTAATTGAAGCAGACTCTCCTGCTGACTGTGTTCTCCATTCTAGTGGATTATTTTTCTCCAAGCTCTCATATTCATCCTCTGTCTTCAGGCATAGGAATATCTCTTATACAATATCTTTTTGTTTCCCAGGGTATTGATAATAAGCACAAAGCATGTATATGTTAATTTTATTTATTAGTAACTTTAAATTAAATTTAACAGATACATGGAGTATAAAAATCATTCATGTTGCTATTGTTTGCCTGCAAGACAACTTCCAACTACTCCATAAGCCTGGGAAACAGAGATAACATCTCTAAATCTCTTTGTTATCATTTTTACCAAGGTGAAATCCTGAAATCCCACCTACTGTCCACAATCTGGGGCACTCTGACAAGAAGCCCTAGGATTTGTCATAATGCACAGAAATTCCTGCATTGAGAATGAGCTGTAGAATGTGGACACTGGGTCCTATTGCAGGCTTTATCAGAGAACACCATGCTGTGAATACTGGGCTGCAATTTGGTCAAGGTTAGACACCAGTACTTATGTCTCAGACAGTTGAGAGACAGTCCTTTTTATTCACATGAGACAAAATTATTCAGAAATTTCAAATTTAAAGTTTGGATTCTCATTGCTAAAATACATTCTGTTGCTATTAAAGATGTAAGATATAACATTTTGTAGTTATAAATTTTGTAATTGCGACCCCTTCAGTATTCTCAACAAGGAAGCTTCTGCATATTTTAAGGTATTAAGGTGATTTTAATGATTCTTTATTTGCCATCTTAAATACATTTGAAATTGTTAATTTTTGTCATGTTCACTTTAATTTTATCATCTTCTTTTCTTCCATGTAAATAAAAATAAAAACTAGTTCTTTTAACACCTTCACAGTGACTGCATCTGTAGCTGCTGCTGTTTCAGAACGTAATTGTGACTCCATGGTTACTAGCCAGCCCATGTCTGAGTCAATCAGATCTATTTACAAATAAAGACTCAGAAGTCAGAAGTTGAACTGGCAACTCACTAGCTAGAGAGCTCAGGAGATAACATTTCCTCTACATCATGGTCTCAGAAGGGAGAGCATCCTACAGTGCCATCTACTCAAAAATGATGGTCACTGTCAAAGTCACCTCTTACATCTACCTGTGCATCTATGTATCTGCGCAAACATAATTCAGTTCTCCAATCCTGAGTCTCCATCAGTAGGGACACCTCAAAGAGTCAAATTTTCTTAAAATGTGACAGTCTGCAAACTGAGGACACAGGCATGTATTACTGTGACCGACACACAGTGAGGGAACTCTAGTGTGAGCCTGCAGAGAGCCCCTCTTCAGAGAAACTTGGAAACAGGAGGGCATGCAAAAGACCAAAATGAGTTCCAAGACCATTATGTGACACTTCAGAAATAAGGAACTTATAGACTATGCTGCATGAACACTTGCTTTAATTTTAAAATATGAGGTTTTTTTTTCAGTCAAAAAAGTCCAGTTGAGATCTCTCTCAACTGTTGAAGCCTATCAAGCTTCCTATTTTTTCCAAAACTAGAACCAATGGATTATACCCATAAATAAAATCATTGGAGCTATAAATTTGCTTCTTCTTTTCAGGCAGATTGACATATAATTTTATATGGGCCATGTATTTACAGATATATTTCCACTTAATTACATTTAATATAGTGTGTTTGTGTGTGTGTGTGTGTGTGTGTGTGTGTATTTCAAAAAGAGACTGTAAGTTAGGATGCTTGTTAAGTGTAAATTCATTAAGTATGTTGAGGAATTTACAGTAATCTGTAATTTTTGAAATTATTTTGTAGACATGATGGAAAAACTATTTGCAGCCTGAATTAATGTTCCTTTCCCAAGACACCTTGAAAATTTAATATACATTGCTTTCTTATTCTAAATTACCAGGACTTAGAAGTGTTCACTTCATTTATGTTTCTGACAATTCACCTTTTTATATATTTCCCTCCGGTAAAATTTACATTTCACATCAAAATATAAAGAACTTGTTCCTCTTTTTTTTTTAAAGTAAATTTTATTAAATTATAAAAGTTTCCATTTCCGCCCC